CGCCGTGCCCCTCGGCCGCTGGCCGAGAGAGCTACCGGACGCGAGAGCCGGAAGCGCCCGGGCGCCAAGCACGCCGGGACTCGTAGTTCGCAGCCCCGGGGTCTGCGGACCAACCCGCGCGTGGCGCTCCGAGAATACGACTACTACGTCGTGACGTCAAGGAACGGGATTGGCGGTCCTCGCATCGCTCCGTTTCCCAATCGGAGTCTGATTGGCTAATGTACCCGTCGCTCACGGACTCCAGGGCCTCCGCAAAGGGAAGTGCCTCGGTGTCCTAGGGACTACCGCGCCCAACCGCGTGCGATTGGTTGAAACCGAGAGCGTAACCAGGGAGAGCGTATCAGCGGCGAGGGGGGCGGCTACTTCCGTCGGGTTGCCCAATCGCAGAGGGGGAGGAACTATAAATACGTGAGCCGGCGGCGCCATCTTTCTTTCAAGAGCGGCGGGAGCGTGCGCGTTTTCTGCAGGCTTCTCTGGTGCGTCCGGGGACCCTGGGCGCTGGGTAGGCCGGAGGGGGCTCCGGAACCCGCGGAGCGACCGGGCCCCTGCGCAGCCCTGCTGAGCGCCGCCTCGGCCCTCAGCTCTGTGCGTTTCGCCGCGTGCCTGCGTCCCGTCGGAACGGAGCCGGCTGCCGGCAGGTGAGCCTGGTTGGGACCTGCAGGGCCTGGCGCGCCGAGCCTGTGATGAGTCGCTTTGACTTCTGACACCTCGTATGAAAACTGCACGTGCAGTTTGATTATCTCGCACGGCTGAGGCCTCATGGCTGCGCCCCTCACCGAGGGCTTGGGGCGGGAGCGCACCCTGCGGCGGCGGGCACTGTGTACATGTCATCTCCCTGTTTCAGGGCCCGGGCGTCCGGCCGCAGACCCGCGCGGGCTTGTGCCCCAACATGCTGGGGCCTCGTCGGCCTCACCCTTCGGAGGAGGCTGGGTCTGTTCCCGGGGCGCGAGCAGCTTCCGCTCGCCCGGTGCGGCAGTGCAGAAGAGGACCTGCTCCTTCCGGCGCGTCAGGTCCCGCACTGCTGCCCGCGCCCTGGGACGCCGAGACCGGTAAGCGAGCCGCGGGCCGGTTGAGGCACTGTGTGCAAAATCCTTACACTTACTCCAAAACACACCGGGTGGGAGCTTTGCCCCAGGGGCGTGCAGCGCCCAGAACTGGCCACTGCCCCGCGGAACTCAAGTTTGGGAATGTAGCGCTGCCTGCTTCCTGAACACGTGGACGCCAGGTGAACAACGACCTGGAAATGGGCCCTCAGGTTACAAAGCTGTTGTGCAGTTCAGATGCTGTTTCAGGAGAGGGAAAATGGAGCGAGATTCCATGTGTGGTGTGTTTCTGCCTCAGAATGAAAATCTGCAAAGGGAGGGCGAGCCCGTGGTGAGGGGACACCCAGGAGAGGCTGGTTCTGCTGGCGATGGTCCAGGAGGGTTGGCCGCTCTGCACAGTACCAGGTCTCTGCACCTTCACTTCCGCCTGGTGCTTAGGCCACTGCTGCCCCTGCTAAGTATGACGTGACCCTGTGCCCCAGAGTGTCCTCCATTGCCACATAGGCTGGACAGGACTGGTCTCCCTGCCAGCAAGGTGCCTGCTCTGTACCTGGGGTCTTTGTATCGCTTCAGGCAGGACTGAGTGGTGGGGCCAGCACCAAGGCTATGTCCACCTGGAGCTTGTCCTGGCTTTGATTGGACTGGTCACTGGAGAGGCAGGCGCCCTCCTACCAAGCCATGCCTGATGGCAAGAGGAGACAGTGGTGCTTGATTGCGTGACCCAGCCCCCAGACCACCACCTGGAGGCTGCCTGGGGCTGGGTGGGGTCATGCCCCGGGACAGGCCAGATTGGGGGTGATGTGAGAGCCAGTGGGAGTGAGAGGGAGGCCCCCTGGCTGGGAAGTAGGCCTGGAAAGGACTCCTTTGTTTTCTGGGGCAAAATATTGAGGCTTCAGGTAACACATTGCTCAGGGGACACCCTTGCTGTGAGATGGGTTAATGATCCCCTCGACTAGTCGGTGCTGACAAGGAGTGGGCGAAGTCTGGGAGGGGCAGGATGCGGTGTCTCAGCTGATGGAGGTTGCTTTGAAGTCTCTCCCAGCCAGGAACAGCGAGCCCGGGAACTCAGGAATGGGCCCCCCCGAAGTGCGCCGAAGCCAGCAGCCCTGGGGGTCCACTGTTGCCTGCCTGGCAGCTGTGGTTCAGAGATTCCAGAGAGCATTCGGCGGGAGGTGAGGGATGACGTGTGGAGTGACGGAAGACCTGGGCGGGCTGTGGGAGCCCGGCCTGTGAAAGTGAAGCTCAAGCCAGGAGCAAAGGCCCAGAGGCTGAAGCCGCGTCCGCTGAGTAGATGCGACCGGAGGGTCATGGACCACCTGATCGCCAGGTACCTGGCGTACGAGCTCATCCGGCCCTGCAAGTCTCCCTACAGCTCTCCTGTCTTCCTGAAGCGACGACAAGGGACGAAAGACTACCACATCGTCCAGGACCTGAAAGTGATCAATCAGATGGTGCAGGACATGGACCCAGTGAAGCGCAACTCGCGTACTATCGTTAACCAGCTGTCAGAGCACTTTGGCTGGTTCACAGTTTTAAGTTTAAAAGATGCCTTCTACTGCATACCTTTGAGGAAGAAGTCCCAAAAGCTCTTTGCTTTTGAGTGGGGCGGCCCTCGGGCCGGTAGAAAAAAGCAGTACTGTTGGACGGTGCTGCCGCTGGGGTTTAAAAACGCCCCTGCCATTTTTGATGACGTTTTTGCCAAAGACTTGCGAGCCCTCCAGTTGGAAGAGGGAGTCCCGCTGCACTACATGGGCAGCATCCTGATAGCCAGCAGAACCTGGGAGTTTTCGCATAAAAACACTGTACGGACCTTAAATTTCCTGGCAGAGCGGGGGTACAAGTTCTGTAAGAAGGCACAGTTCTCACAGGAAACTGTGAAGTACTTAGGGCTCCAGCTGTCTCGGGGGCAGAGAAGGCTGCTGCCTGAGCAGCTATGGGCACTGGCCAGGGAGGCCCCCCCTGCCACCAGGGCGCAGCTGCGCACCTTCCTGGGGAAGGCAGGTGTCTGCCGCATCTGGGTCCCCAACTTCGGCCTCATAGTCAGGCCCTTGTGTGAGGCACTCAAGGGTGACGGTGAGTCTCTTAACTGGACGGCAGAATGCTCCCAAGCTTTTGAGGACCTAAAGGACAGGTTTTCAAAGGCCTCTGTGCTCAGCCTTCCTGATCTCAGAAAACCATTTGACCTCTTTGTCCACGAGCGCAAAGGCATAGGCCTTGGGGTGCTGACACAGGGCATCACCAGATGCCCCGTTGCCTACTGCTCTAAGCAGCTGGACGCGGTGGCGCGGAACTGGCCCGCCTGCCTCCGGGCAGTGGCTGCGGCCCACGAGCTCCTGCAGCAGGCCCAGAAGTTTACCGGGGCCCAACAGGTGACGGTGCACACGCCCCACCTTCTGCGTCCCCTCCTGGAGCAGGAGGGGCCCTGCCGGCTGAGACCTGCCAGGCTGAAGAAGTACCGGGACAGCCTGCTGGGTGACATCCAGCTCAAGACCGTGTCTGTCCTGCATCCTGACACCCTTCTCCCAGACCCCAGGGGGCAGCCTGCCCACAACTGCTTGCAGGTTGGGAATCTCTCCAGCAGCGCTGACCTGGCCTATCAGCTGTTGCACAGTGCTGGGCCTGAGATGTTGGTGATGGGTCCTGGGAGGTCCTGGGCACCCGTTCTCTGCCAGAGCCTCGCGCACCTGAGCCTCGGCATGGGTGCTGGGCAGCCCTGAGGTGCTGAACTGTCCCCGGAGCACCCAGACGGAGGATGGCCGAGGGCTGGGCCTGCCCGATGCAGTGCTTTCCCATGCTGCCAAGGGGCTGGGCCACTGCCCTGCTCGGACCTGAGGGCGGGGTCTCCTCCCTCCAAAGTGCAGGGCTACTGCCTCTCCCACCACTGACCATTCCCTGCCCCCTGCCGCAGTCTCCCTCACACCCTAGGGCAATAAAGGGCTGCAAGCGCACGAGCCGGACGTGTCCACATTTCACCCGCTGCTGTGCCACCAGGGTGCATGTGGGCAGTGGGGTGGGCGGCACTGCTCTGGTCTGGGGGCAGGCACTTTCCAGCCACAAGACCGCATTTCTGAAAACTTTATTCACCAGGGCTGGCTTGCGGCTCAGCTGCCGGCCAGCCGGAGGGTGGTGCGCACCGGCCGACCGCCCCTCAGGCTCCAGCTGTGGGCAGCCAGGCTCGCCCACAGAGCAGGCTCTGTGGACTTCTCTGCGGGTGTGGGCCGGTGCCCGACGGTGGGTACCGGTGTTGGGCACAAGTGCCAGGCCTCTACCCGGCTGCTGAGGTGCAGCAGGGTCAGCGTCGCCAGTTGGCCCCTCCTGTGCAGGCAGCGGCCTTCCCTGGGGGGCAGGGAAAGGTGGACCCGCTGGCCGCCGAAGCCCACTCATCTGACCAATGCCTGCCAGGGAGTGTGGCCCTGGGCCCCAGCCGCCCAGCAGCTCGGTCTGGGTCTGGCTCAGGGCCGGCAACAGGAGCCCCCTCGGCCCGCCCTCTCGATGTAGTCGTGCAGCTGGAAGTCAGGCTGGCTGGGCGTCTTCAGGGAGCGCTGCTTCAGTTCCCTGTGGGGCCAGGGGTGATGAACGGGTCCTGTGCCCAGTGGGGGGGCAGTAAGGGGAAGGGTCCGGGCCCAGGTCTGGGGAACTTCTCAGGGACTGACTTTGCAATGGCTGTGAAGGCTAAGTCCACGTTGAGGCCGGTCTTGGCGCTGGTCTCCATGAAGGGCAGCCCGTATTCCTGCAAACAGCCACTGCCAGTGGCCCTGGCTGGCCTGGGCTCTGTGGCCGCGGGCACACCCAGCCATCCCCCAACTCACCCTGGCCAGCTTCTCTCCATCCTCCCTCTTCACTGCCCGACCCTGGCTGGAGTCCACCTGGCAGGTCAGGGGGGTCTTGTTGAGAGTCCCTGTTACCCCACCCCATGAGCAGAGCGCGGCCTGCACCCACCTTGTTCCCCAGCAGCATGAGCACCACGTCGTGCTGGGCGTGCTCCTGGATCTCCGCCAGCCAGGCCTGGGGGCAGTGGGCCAGCTGGGGCCCTCTGCGCGCCCACACCCACCCCACTCTGGTAAAGGGAGGCAACCTGATTGCATGCCACCTGCCTGCCGCGAGGGGGAGGGGTCTGCCACTGACCTTGGTGTTGTCGAAGGAGGCCCTGCTGGTGACATCGTAGAGCAGCAGCAGCGCTGGGGGCAGAGGGCCGGTGAGGGTGCATGTGCCCCCCCCCCCCCCGCCCGCCTGCACCCAGTTGCTCACCGTGGGCGTCGCGGTAATAGGCGTGAGTGACGCTGCGGAAGCGCTCCTGGCCGGCGGTGTCCCAGATCTGCAGGGCAGGTGAGGTCCAGCAGGTGGCGCTGCTACCCCGCCCTGCCCCACCCCGCCCCCGCTCACCTGCAGCTTCACCTTCGTCCCGTCCACGTCCAGAACTTTGTTCTGAAACAGAGTCAGCTCCAGCAGGGCCTTGTCTCCCGCACCCACCAGGGCGGCACCCCCCGAGCACAGCCATCGGAGGGCCTCCTGGGGCCGTGCCGGCTGTCGGGGACACTCCTGCATGTTCGCACGGTACCCCCGGCTCCCCCTTCTTGGGGACTTGTCCTGCTGCTGCACAGAGGCAGCACTGGCCCGTCCTCCGTGGCCAGCTCTGGGCTGGGCTTTCCTGCCCCTTGCCCACTGGGGAGCCTGGCACTGGGCCCCGCCAGCCCACAGCCTCTGACCCTCTGGTCCCAGCCCAGCCCTGGGAGTGGGTCCTGGTGTGCACCAGTCCCGGCCCCTCACTGCACTCTGCGCACTGGTCCTCTGCTCAGGACCTCTCTTCCTCAGTTTCCCCACCACAACTGCGAGGAACTGGGGCCCCCCGTGGCTGCGCTGCTGGCTCTCAAGCGGCTCCCGGGAGCTGCCTCTGCCCAGGTGCGGCCCCTGGGGCCCTTGCCGCAGTGGCCAGAGCTGCCTGTGGCCTTGGGGGTGGTTCCTGCTTGGGTTCAGGAGGGGGCAGGGAGGGGCCCACCCCTCTTCCCATCTGCTGGGTGGGGGTGGCCCAGGGCACTGCCCCCCTCCCCCAGGCTACCTCTGTCAAGGTGCTTCTGGGTCTCCAGGGAACAAGCACAGCCATCTGCCAGGCAGGGAGGACACCCCGCCTTCCCCACACCCAGAATAGGGGTGTGAATCAAATGACCTCACCTACCTCTTCACTTGCCTCAGAGCGGGGGTGGGGTTTCGGGGTCAGAACAGGCAAAGGACCAGCACTGCAGGCCTCCACACCCCTCTGCGCCTCCATCACAGAGGACGCAAGGGGACCTGATCCCCAAACAGGGTAGAGAATGGCTCCCCAGGCGCCAGGGACCCCTCTTTCCTTGCCCAGAATGGGTCTCCCAACCTCCCAGCAACTGGGTCTAATTAAAGGGGTGAGAAAAACACATCAGCACCTGGGCAGGAGCTGTGAGGGCAGAGGTGGCAGGTCCGGCCCTGCCTGCTGACCTGTGGGGTGCTGCAGGGGCTGGGACACTCCCAGGACACTGCCCACAGTCGGCAGGGCCGAGTTGCCATCAGGGAATCAGCGGACGGGGCCTTTTCCAGGAAGGCCTGACCCCAGGCACCCGGCCATTCCAGACAGCCGGACAAGGAGCCGGCCTCTGCAGGGGGTGGGTCGCGGGGCCCCTGCCCCCAGCAGCATCTGCCTCCCAGGCACAGACAGCGCCCGGAGCCATGTGGGGCACAGTCTGCTCACGTGAGGTGTGAGCACACCATCTCCAGGCCCCTGGAGTGGGTGGGAGGCTCCTTGCAGTTCAGATGCCTGTTAGGCAGCCTGGCCCCAGGGTGGGGAGAAGCTGTGCCAGGGCCCTGGCGGGGCCGGGACCTGCCCAGTGTTGGGATGCCAGAGTGCGCTCTCACCCGGAAGTCGATGCCCACAGTGGATATGAAGGTGCCCGCCAGGAAAGCCCCATCCTTGAAGCGCACGAGCAGGCAGGTCTTGCCCACGCCCGAGTCCCCCACCAGCATGATCTGTGCAGGAGGGAGGGACGGCAGTTGAGGGGACAGCTGGTGGCCACGGGGGGGGGGAGTTCGGGCTCATACTGAGTCGGCCTCGTCAGGAAGGGCAGTGGTGCCCAGGCCTGGGGGGGGGGGGCATGGCTACAGCCCCTGCTGGCATTGACCCCCAACCTCACCTCCAGAAGGTTCTGTCCCCTCACTCGTGAATAGTGGTCTATAGCAATCAATGAGGAGAGGGGGCAGCTCCTCTGAGCCCCCAGCCCTGGACACCACGCTTTGGAAGGGAACACAGGGCCCGGGCGGTGTCTGCGGAGCGCCAGAGAAGCCTATAGGCCTCTGCAAGAAAGACTCTTTTGGTCCCAGCAAGACTGGAGGAATTTCTCAAATGAAGGTCAGATGCTGACCTGAGGGGCCAGGCGGATCTGTGGCCAGGGAGGAACAGAGAGGCCTCCTAGCCCTGTTCCCTCCCCCTGCCCCAGCCTCTGCCAAAGGCCCCCAGCCCCAAGTAGTCCCGCCAGCCCGACCAATTTCCAAGTGTCTGCCCCGGCCGAGAGGCTACCCCCTTGCCCGCCGCCCAGCTGACGAGCGAGCCTCTTCTCTGCCCCCAGACCGGGGAGAGAGGCAGCGCCCGAAACGAAACGAGGGCTGCGCCCGGCGGGCGAACGCCACGTGCCAGGTTCTGGCTTCCCGCGAGCGTGCCCGGCAGCCCTGACAGCTGGGGGGACTGGGCAGGCCGCGCAGCCGCCGGGCGTCCGGACGCCGGGCTGACAGCTGTGTGTGCGCGCGTGC